TTTGCTGATCCTGATCCCTATCCATTTGATTCGCTAGGGGGGGGGGACACAAAGCAGGAAACGCAGCGCACTGGCTACAAATCGCTAACCGTGTTAGCACTACACGCACTAAACAAACACGCTCCGTTTACTATAGGTTCGTTACCTATACGGCATGTGTAGAACGTGCGGATAAAACAATACGCAGGTTGCTTTCAACGTGCGACCTCCTCTTTAATTTGACAGGTTGCTGATTTGCTTTTAAATCTGTGGGTTTCTAATGGTTTGATTCACTCACCTTTCAGTAAGTAAGATTGGCTGGTTCGAAAGTGTGTATATGTGTATAGATGTGTGCGTGTGTATGTATATATGTGTAGAACACTGTTAACAAACAACTCTTGCACACAAAATGGATAACGCAGTGTTAGAAAACCTGGCAGAAGTGGTAAAAGGTGGCAGCAGCTGCACAATTAAACCTGAGGTTTTGTTTCTTTATACCTGCAGTTTAAGTTTAACCACTCTCCAATTGTTAAAACACTGTTTGTCCACAGCACAGAAAGCAATAGTGAAACAGCATGAAAGAAAGAAAAATAAAATTTAAGAAGAAAAAAAAAAACAAGTCACTCCTTCTCTACACCATTTAGCTGCAATTTCAGAAGCCACCACCAGGGCGAGACAAGGTGCCTTCGCCTGGGAATTTTCAAACTGTTGTTGCAATAACACGCTTACGCCACCAGGTGGCGCCAAAGAGAGCACTACACAATTTGGATCTCTAACACTGGAACCAGCTGAGTAATTGTAATTACATAAGCTACCACTAGGGGGAGGTGGCAATCTTTGCCAACGTGGCCTACACTGACCCAGTCGCTGTGACTTTAAAAACCCTTTTGTGCTGCACCAATCCACAATTTGATCTCACGGCTTCAGAATAGCAGCAACCAACAAACAACGCAGCTGAAGTCCCAAATCACCAATTCTCTACTGGATTATAAGTGTGAGATTCAATTAACTGGCCGTTAAATCTACTCAACCCCGCTGGACTCCGTCACTGCAACACCAC